AGCCGAGCCCAGCGGGCAGGCGGCTGGTGCAGCGCCGAGGCCAGCGCTCGCCTGGGCCTTATCGCAGCGGCCCAGGCGCCCGCGTACCGCGCGCGCTCCTCGCCCTTCCCCTCCCTGCGCTCGCCGCTCGCCTGGAGATGCGCAGCAGAGAGTTTGGGGTGCCAGGTGGCTTGGCGAAAGAGATAATAAAAAGCTACAAAGAAAATAATAAATTCGCACAGTAGTAACTAAAGATCAACTGTCCGAGACCGAAGGTGCTTTTTGCTGAAACCCTGTTAGTGCTCTCCTTACCCTGTTAAAATCCTCCAGAAGCCTCCCGGCCAAGCAGTGGCTCCGAAGGCGATCTGGGGCTCCTTTGTCTTGGCGGTGGCTGCGCCTCGGTAGAAACCGACCTGGACCACAGCTTGGGGCCAGTGGACGGAGGGGGTGGTAAAGGATGTCCAAGGGTCCCCACAACTCGCAGGGCTCCTAGGACGACTGCTGTGAGGAGAGGGGTTAATATTAAGGGGCGGTCCTGGCGAGATACGGTAGAAAAGACTCAATAGCGTGCGCCATGGAACAGAAAATTCTGTGCCTTACGCTGAGATACAACTTAACCTGCAGCCCACAAGTCTGGTTTCAGTCGGCCTCCAAAACGCTGAATCATTACATTGTTAACTCCAAATCTGTTATGGATCCTAAACTTTTTTTTTTTTTCCAAGTTATCATTATTGGTTAGTTGGCTTCCTTTCCTTTGAGGTCGCGAGTTTAAGGCAGTCCATTCAAGTTCCCCATTTTGCAGTGTGGTTTTAATCAAAGTATTTCTTAACCTGACTACTAGGTTAACCTAACTTTATTAGGTAAATTTAAGTGAATTTCTTTTTGGAAGCACTATCCGTTAAATTACAGTAATAAATAGGCTTTTTCAATTAAAGCCCAGCTTCAGGTACGAGAGCTCTCATTTTCTCAGTTACAACTACGAAACACTCGGGTTTACTGCTTAAAAAAAAAAAGCTAATACATTGAGCTTTCTCCCTCATTCATATCAAGTGTGAATGTGTTCACCAGAGCCTTTCCTGAAAACAAATTCTGACCTCGAATTATCATTGTCATCAAACTTGCCCTGGGTGGAAATGTGAACTACAGAAATGCACACTGCACTTCAAAGTCAGAAAACCTTTGTGATTTTTGGCAAAGCCCTAAGCCGGAGTCACCTTAACCCTTAAGTAAGATAATATTAGCCCTACCCCATTTTTTGCAGCAAATGACACAGAAATGAAAACTCTATACCAGGTATATGGGGACCTAAGATTGTTACGTTTCCTAAGAGCCAAGCAGTGCTATATTATTCTCTTCTCATATGTTCTACCCAGAACCAACATTTCACTGGATTTCCTTTGAGACACACATTTCCTGGATCATTTCCGTTTATGAAATAAAAGGAAATTCTCTTTTTAACAAAAAAACTTCATTTTAAAGATCAGACTTATAAAGTCTCATCATAACAAAATGAAGTTAAAAGATTATAAATTACTAGAATGAGCTTAGTTAACATTCTACCTTATGTTATCTACTAAAGCCCCTTTTAAAACAGAACTGATTTTGACGTCAGAGAAACTAAGCAATAATTACTGTTTATTTCTAGTTGGAGAACCAAAGCACATTGCGAAAAATCAGATTAATATCTGGGCTACTTTCTTAATAAAGGAACTGTTGGTATTTTCCTCTTTATCTTTTTTAGAGGCTACTAAAAAGTGTGTAGATATGGGAGTGGAGAATTTCCAGACTTAGTTCTCAGAGAGATGGTTGTCAACCACAATTAGTAAGTTGTGTATTTTCAGAATATATAAAGCAAAAGTCACTTAAGGGCCATGTCTTGGCACTGCTGTTGTTAATGTGGCCATGAGTGGCACGGTCCCCTTCCCCATTCACAAGGAAAATGAGAAGCAATGAAGAAGCAGAGCCCATCAGCACTGCCACTAGAGCAGCTAAAAAACACACGTGGGGCCAGGAAATCTTGCGTATGAAACAGGAACCTCTGAGCATTGCATTCCATTGTGGCTGTTATTGGGCTCTGCTTCCCAGAGGGTCTGGGCTGTCAGGACCAAAGCATCTCTTTCAGGAAATAGGTCTGGGTGAAATTTCACGTGGCATGAAGAAGTCCAGTTGGACTCCTTTGGTACTGTTTTATAAGGAACAAACTTTTATACGCTGGGAGCTTCCAAAAGCCCTCATTCAGCGAGTAGAAGGACCCCAGAGCCATCTGATAAAAACACATTTCTACTGATGTTGCTTGATCTGAATCATTTCTAATCACACAGAAAAGGAGTTTAAGATGAGCAGGATGGAATAATTATGTCCATCTCGATAACGATTGTTTTTCATTTTTATTTGAAACACTTACACGTATGTATATTTGCAGCACTTACTTATCTGCCTCTTTTTTCTTAATATTTAATTATCAGAGGCCAGAAGGGGAAACTATTTCAATAGATGGATCCAAGTACACTGATGTCCTCAGCTTAAATGGAAGAACTTAAAAGAGGCGGGCACATGTACCTTAATGCATTGGTGATAGAGAAAGGAAAGAAGCAAGATCTGGCATAATAATCGTAATAACTAACATTTACTTATTAAGATCTTACCTCTGCCGACTGCGGCTCTCAGCACCTCATGTGTCTTGATTTATTTAACTCTAACGACAGGCTGGGCCAGGAAAGCTGCATGCGCGTGCACAGCATTATGAATTCCAGGTCTAGCCTCACTCTCAGCTCTTCTCCAGCAAGTCCTCTAAGTCTTGATTTCCTCATCTGTAAAATGGGGAAAATAAGTGTACCTATTCTACAAGGTAATTGTAAGGATTAAATGCAATTATACATGTTAGAAGGCATAGCAGGCCATAACTCGTAGTCTAACTTCATTTTATTTCAAGTTCATTGTCACCATTTTTAATCACCTGAAGTAAATTTAAGGGTGTTTTCCATAGCAGATATGTCAATAAATTTTTAATGCATTTGTTGCTTTTTATCTAGGTATCTAAATCCTTTGAATCTTGCTGTAGCCCACATTTGAAACGGTTGAATCTTCAGTCTTTTCATCCATACTATTCTAACTGAAAAATCTAACCCGCTCGCTGGGTTAGTCTTAAAACTTAAAGATCCTTTGTTCAGAAAGTAATTATTATACAAACTTGTTTTGTTCTTAACACCTGCTGATTAATAACTGCTAAAAACAATTAGCCTAAAATTTGTTTGGGTGTCTTGGGAGTCCTGAAATATTTGTTTGCAGGAAAAAAATTCAAACTCCATAGTATGACACAGGAAAGACCTTCAAAAACTCTTGCCCTCATGGATCTCTGCCAGGCTGAGCTTCCTCTGTTCCTTTTGATGTCTGTCTTACCTTTCCCACCCACTTCACTCTCCAGTTCTAGAAAATTCCACAGACGAGCCTTTTTCTTAGTATACCTTCCCCCTTCTGAGAGTGGCCTGTTGTTGCTCATCCCCCCCAAAGCTTCCCCTGCCCCTCTGCTCCCATGCCACTTCCCACATACGATTGTCACTGCCTTATGTGATGCGCATGCGCCCTGCTGGGAGGCCGGAAGCATATTTTATTTCTGCTTGTATCTCTCCCCATTAAATGAATGATTAGTTACTTACGAAACCATGTCATCTATGTTCCTCTAAAAGCCAAACTATACTAAATGCTCTCCCTCTTGGGCGAGTTACTGAGCTTCTACAAGGATTAAGGCAAGAAGCAATGGAGTTTCGCTGGCACTAATTGTTCCCGTTGACTAGGATAGATGAGGAAGCTTTCTACCTGGGGGGCAGGACTCAACTGCCCTCCCCTCCATGTCTCCCTTGCCCCCAGCCACTGGCCCGGCTTCCTCGTCATCACCATCACCATCACCATCCACTAAGCTGAACATCCTTCCCTCTGCCTTTGTCTTCATCTCTGCACCATCATCTCTCTTAATCCAGAACATGTAATTAAATGTTTCTTTTT